TGATCAAATTTGAGAAAGCATAATGAAATATTCAGTGGATTCAAAGGTAATGAATAAGAAGGTGATATGAGTGTGGTTAAGAAGTCTTCGAATGATGTGGTTATTAAGAGAAAGGTATTGTTCCTTCAGATATTGAGGAGATGGATATCTGAATGTAAAACACTACAAATGTAGGGACTAGAAGGCACTGAATGCCCTGGAAGACAGAGCAAGGACAGGCAGATTGAAAGGAAAGACAAAACAAATGCAAGTAAATAAGCATAATAAGCAAAATGCTATAGGGTATTTACTTCTAGAAATATAATTCTGTAATACAATGCAGTAAATAGTAACAGTAAGAAGTTGGTTTACTAAAACATGTGGCCACAACTAGTAAGTGGGACTTAAAAGAAATAAACATTTTCTATATCATAGGGAAGAAACTGCAAAATTGGAATTCACATATGTTAATTTTAAGATCCAAAAGAGGCCACTTCAATTTTTGATAAAATTGCCCCTCTCTCCTCCTGTTTTTTGAGGGGCTTGAGGTTTTGCAGAGGTGTTTTGGATTTTGGTTTTTTTTTCCTTTGTATGGCAAATATGTCTGAATATAGAGTATTTCATTCCAGGTTTTGTTGACAAGAATCTTGTTTAACCAGTTTTGTCTGTTTTGTGCTCTGTATGTTTATGTGCATAATCTCCTTTAAACTTTCTGAAGAGACTCATCCACAATTCTTTGAACTAAAGTTCTTATATTAACAATGTCTGTTAATGTTTTATATTCAACTTAAATCATTACTTTGTGACCTTTACCTAGTTCTGTTATCATGGGTTAAATTATATAAACTTAGTTAAAATAATTGCCAAAACTTTTCCAACATCCCCAAATAAATAAATGTAAAGGATTTATGAATGGGCACCAACAAGAGTCATTAACTGATGTCATGTCATTAAGCCTTGAGGACCATGAGTTAACTCACTCTGTTTATGTGCAGCACCATTACAAATAAGTCACATGTGGACTGAGGGAAATGGATCCACAGCACAACCTCTCCCCGACTGGCTTTTCCTCACTTGTACTACTACCCCTTCAGTGTTCAGTTTTCCTTCTTCTTTCATCCTCATCACTGTAACCCATTAATTGAATGCATTTGCAACAGCTGTCAACTCCCTGTTTCAAATGTGTAAGCCAGTCCCTGAATTTTCAGTGAAAATATGCATCCCTGCTCATGTAGGCAGAACCCCAGAGATTACCCCTGGCTGTTGGCAAATACTGTAGGACAGTTTCAACTGTCCTTGTTGTTGCCACTTTCAGTTTTAACCTGTGAAGCACAGCAATTGCCATTCAGACTTTATCAATATACATAGAAATTCCACTGTCATTTCAGTGCAGTGTTTTTCATATCTTTTACTTCCATGTTTTGTTAGGGAAATTCTTTGCAGGGTATAGTGAGCCATCCCTAATGACAATGTAGAATTGTACCTGTGGTCTGTACATGGTATTTTGCCTGGCAGCTGGGTGGGACTGCAGGAGCCCCCTGCCTGTGTGCAGGGGTTCCACGGCAAAGGACACAGCAATCCCTCTGTGCGTCAGCAGTGCCCTGTATGGCCTGATAGCTGAACCTTATGTAAGTGTTCAATATATGGACAGGGATCTCTCTCCACCAGGTTCTCCCCTAATGGTGTTGCTACAAGGTCTGTCAGAGCTGCATTTCAGTGCTTGTGTGCTCTGTGTATGCTCTCCAGTGATCCCCAGGCTTTTTGCTGTCATGTTCACGTGTCTTCCCAAGAGCAGGCCTGGAGGGGAGGTAGAAGGTAATGTGGGGTGCCAGAGAGGACTAACAATGGAGAATACAAGGCAAGAGCTGTGGAGACTTTTGATACTTAAACTTTCTGTGGTAATATGCTATAGGACATGGCATACGTTGCCATAAGCTCTTATAATCCAGAAACTTCATTTGTGCCAGTGAAGAAGCTCTGCATGAAATTCTCAGTGCTCTAGGGAAAAATGAATATAAACTTTTTACTGTCTAAACCCAGCTATGTAATTTGACTCTTGGAGAAATGATACTATGTGTGCTTTTTCTTATACAAGAAACATCTAAACTGTATTTGTATGGCTTGACTTTGTTTAAACTTCACTATCAAATTGAAGATACTTCTGGATTGTTTTGTCTAGTATCCTCAGGGTGATCTTCCATGCCCTATGTATGTAGTACAATTGTGTAAGGGAAACTGATAAGATAGATACTCCTGTGTTTCTTTTCAGTCTTGTCTGAAACAACTTGAAAATATGTTGAAACAATGTGTACAGTGAAACCAGTTGTGAAGAAAATTCTTTGTACTCTCCCCAGATTATAAGTAAAAGTGTTCACTCTCCAACTCCAATACAGTGCAGCTCTCCATATATACCAAGAGAGTTTTCTACCATCTTGTAAAAGTATGTGTGTGTGAAAGAAAAGAATTTTGTCCTTAACATGTTAGAGAATTTGCTTTGGCAGGTGTAACCTTTGTAATGATGCCAAGGTCATTAGAGACCTGTGAAGATCTGCTGGCTAAGTGCTGGTCACTCAATCAGCTGGAACTTTAGCAAGGTTTTATTTATATATCCAATTTATTTCCAAGATTTTAAATTAGGTTAATAAAGACAATACTTGCAACTTGCTCCTTATGCTTCTCTATATTTTACATGTATTCACCTAACTTCTTGCTAACTTTCTGAAATTTATAGTGAAAAAGGATAGCAAATAATAGTTTAGTTTAATGTTAGTGTCTGTATCCTAAGATACATACTACAAAAAGCAGGCTGGAGCAAATCTCTAGATATGATGGCATCAGTGTAATCTGAACTTAATTTTGAACTTCTTAGGTTAAATAATATATATAGAGAGATATTACTTCTGTGTTTATATATGTGTATGGATCTCTGGGGGGTTGTTTGCTTTTGTGCATGTGTGCATCCACTTTTAGGTAAATACTGCTTCCTGTGTTGGGGAAGTAGAGCAAACCATGGTTGATGTAGTGGAATCTCCAGGTCTGATGTGGGTCTACTGCAGTCCTCTCTTACTGTGCAGCCCCATGTAGGCAGTTGGATGAAAAAGAACAGACAAATCAACATTCCTTTCCCTGAACTCCCCAGCGTGCCTCAGCTGCTTTCACTCAGCTCCAGAAAGGAGAAATGAGACTAAAAGGAGCCACTGGTGGAGTGCTTGCTAATTAGTAAAACTTTGCTGCTTGCAGAAAGCAAAAATTAAAGGAATATATAAATGCTATTGAAATTCCAGAACATGAAAACCTAAAACATCAACAGAGATTTATTTCAGAGCTTTTAACCAGTCATGTATTTAGAAGAACAAGTTTTTTCAGGATTTTCAAAAGACCAGAACTTGTCAGCCTGCTTATGCTGCCAGTTTTTGTATAATAAGTTCATTGACCCTGTAGACAGTCTGAGTGTTTTCTGAGTTACTGCTTTATCTAATTTGCATGATTTTAAAGCTGCTGCTTGCTAGAAAACAGTCTAGTGAGGGCATTCTTTGTAAACACCCTTTTATATAACTTTGCTTATTCCTTTTGGGTAAGGAGAGGGGAAGATCAGGAGCAACAATCAAAAATAGTGTAAATGAAAAGTGATTTTCATGCTTTCATAAATATTTCACAAAATAGTTTCTGACTAGTTTGATAGGATTTCTTTTGTTCTCACCAAGATAAACACAATTTCACACGCAAAAAAATGTTGTGCTTCAGTAATGAATGTGCAATTACTTATTGTTACCAGATAATGTAGAGGCTAACGGTATAAAAGGATTTGAGAAGGATTAGAGAAATGAATGGATGATACATTCATGGAAGAAAACCAGTGAGAGCTGGGAGTGTATGATGAATGGCTTGCCTCATAGTTGTTCTTCCTCTTGTTGCCTGTAAGCATCAGCCATGGCCATGAGAGAGAATCCTGGTCTAGATTGATTCCTGTTTGCTCTGATGTTCTTGCTGTTGTTTGAGGTCTTGGTGTGGAAGACAGTGGTGCTGCACTTGGGAACCAGATCTTTGTACAGAATAGTGTTTTGTATCAGCCCCTGAATACCCACAAGCAAGAACCACCCATTATATCCTGGGTTCTTTTATGTTCTTTGGAGGGGATTCTGAATGAAAAGTCAGTGAAGAGCAAAGATGAAATCCTTCCTGCTCTTTACAGAATTAAATGTTTGAATGCATACTTGGTCTGTGTTACAAGAGTATAGATAATATAACAATATAAACAGATACTTCCACTCATGGTTTCCACAGTAAATGGTAGGGTGTTTTGGAGGATAAGTGGTAAGGTGATGATTAGCTCTGAAAAGTAACTTGTTGCAGCCAGCTGTCCTGCAAAACAAGTAAAAAATCCAGTGCTTTAAGTGATGCATTGTTCATTATTATAACTTGTGTTTGTGCTATGTATAGATTTGAGTTTCTGAAAAAAAAAGTGTGTATTTTTGAATACAAGCTGAACTTGGTATTCAGTACAAGTGGAACCACCACTGTTTATTTAGTGTAAAGATCTCTGTATATTATCTGTCATTTACTCTGCAGCCCTGCCAATAGCTGCATGGATGTGGTGTGTTGCATGTTAGTGCTTGGAATAATCAGTGGAGTGATGCTGCCTAAATTTTGTGTTGTTGTGGAAGACACTTTTCATAAATATGTTCTTCTTTAAAGATCCATATGGCTTTTTCTATCTGTTAATTTTTTTAGTTTACTTGGAATTACCTAACAATGGGATTTGGTAATGAAATTTTTTAGGGCAATAAAGAGGAAGATGTTAAGGTGAAAATGTGAGATGACAAGCATGAGACTGTTCAGGTGTCATACATTACTTTATCTGTTCATGTGCACAAGGAGAAAAAATGCTAAATATTGAAGTCTCAGTTGATATTTTAATGTTATATCCTAGCTGTATTTGCTGTGATGCCTTATGGAACTCCTGTTGGAAAACAGCATCAATTATTTTTTTTTTTAAACACGACATAATTTGTCTTCACTAGAGTGCTGCTGTCCTTGCAAGTGAAAAAAATGCTGCACAAGAGGAGCGAAATAGTGTAGAAAATCAAGTCAAAGAGCTGATCGAGGAAAATAAACAATTGAAGAGAACACTTGCTGAGCTAGAGAGGAAAATTGAGGAGCTGCACAAACAAATTGATAATATGAAAGTAGAAGAAAATTCAGTGAAGGAAAAATTAAAGACCTGTGAGGTAAGTTAGAAAACAAGCCCCTTAAGGAGTCTTCCTCTTTGCAATGTATTCATTGTAGAATAAAAACTGACCAAGGGGAGGATGGACAATGCCCTAGAAAAGGGTAAGGAAAACCCTGACTTATGTAGGAAAGATTTTCCCATCGAAAAGCAGAGTAAAACCAAGTGACACTCTGGGATTGGGGAAATCAGTAACAGGCCAGAGTGAAAGGACTTCACAGCCTTTACTTGTCAGATTAAAGGCCTGGCCACTGTTTCTGAATGTATCAAATTGCATCATTGCAGGAAGAGAAGCAACAATTAGAAGAAGCTTTGAAACATGCTGAAAAGGAGGGAAAAGAATTGTTAGGGTTAAAAGCAGCTTTGGAAAGCCAGCTTGAAGATTTGCAGGTAAGAACAAGAAGAATTTGGGTAATTTAAATTTTAAATTTTCTGTTTACCTGAGTCACTATTGCTTTCTGTAGAGTTACATCTCATTCTTTTTGAAGTAGACTTCATTGTAAAGTTTAGGCCTCACTTCAGTGTTCAAATGTGGAATGAAACCATAGCATGCATCAAATTAAAATGGTTTCCTTGATGAAGGTTTGTTTTTTTTCTATTTCCATGGATCTAGCAAAATTTTGGGGAAATTAATTGCCAAATAAATAAACTGCCTCAGGTTTCACAAATCTATTATTTTCAATGATCATGCAACTCATGAAGGTATTTACATGTGGAAGAATAAAAAGCTGTACTTGAATATATGTGGAAAAATATCAGGATGTTTGCTTCTGTATTTTTATGAGCCTGTCTTATTTGCAATTGTTGTATGGAACTGGAATATTTAATCACAAAACCAGAGACATTTTACATGTATCACTAGGATTTGCAGCCTCTTAAATTCTGAATGAAATCCTCTTTTCACCTTGCTCCTTAGTCCACCCAGTATCCAGGAAAGGTTATGCTTTCTCTCAGATTAGCCCAGAAATTAAATATGTGAGGAATGCATCTACTTCAAAGCAATGGAGAGAGAAGTTGGCAGTGTTGTGTATGAGTCAGGATTGGGTGATTCAGCTGACATGAAAATTCAGATCTATTTATTAATGAGGGGAATGTGTATAAATCTTGAAACTGTTCTTATTTATCTCATATTTTGTGTCTGCAAAAGCTACAAGCTTAATTTTTTCTTCTCTGTGATTCACCTTTTACATGAACCAAAGGATTGATTTCAACAGTATCAGTTTAGAATTCTCTTAGTTTTGCTTCTAGAAGCTAAAGTTTCAAGGGATTCTATCAAACAAGTCAGACTCAAAAGTGAGGTACATGTAAATTGCTAGTGCCATTTTTTTAATTGAATGAATGTTTTCCCCTATTGTCTTCAATATAAATTTTACATTTCTGTTTTGAAAACCTGAAAATGAAACTTGTCTCTAAGTAGATTAAAAGCCAAGGAAAGACTGTGTTAACCAGAATGTTCTCATGATTCATTTAATTATGGTAAAAAGAAAAAATAATGACAGCAAGAAAATACTTCTATGTCTTTAAAATTTAATGCACTTCAAGAATACAAGGTTTGAACAATATGGGTGAGTTTTGTTTTCACAAAATGATATTTTTAAGCTGATGTTTCTTGTAACTTCATGAATAAGTGTTTCCTCTAAGGCATTTGGTCAGGCTTGGTTTTTGGTTGTCTTAATTTTTATATTTTTTTTTCATTTTAAATCTGTCTACCTGCTCTCCCTCACTGTTTCTCCTTGTTTGCTTGTCTGTATCACTGATAAGCTGCACAATCACTGTAGGGGTGCATTGCTCACCACTGGCTTGCATTTAGCACACTCCCCTAAGAACTCCCTTCTGTCACAGTCTGACTTGACCTTGCTGTGTAACATGGATCAATGCACCATACACATCTCTTGCATCTTGATTAGCTTTGGGGCAAGATGTTTGAAAAGTGTGGGGTTTTTTTTTCTGTTTATGCATCCTTCAGGGCATTGTGCCAAATAAGCTGCCTCCAAGCAGGGTCTCCAAATGAAAGAATTCTAGGGAAGGTGACAGGAGAGTCTGTCCTGACATTTTATTCACAACTTATGTCTTAATTCTGGCACCCTAAATTTAATCCTTTTTCTGATTCTGCACTCTTGTCCACCGGATATGAGCACTAACAGACCTCAGGATGTAATCAGTGGGCCTTTTGTTTAGAACAATTCAGCCTTTCTGTCTTTAGAGTTGTTCTAATGAATAATGTTGTGCAGTAGGTTGATTTGGCCTTGTGTTACCATTGACAATTGAGACGACAAACTCTGGCACTGTAATGATGTGTATCCCAGTGGAAATGTAATTTCTGACTGGCCCATCTTGCTTTTTTACATAACACAAATTGCTTGTAATGGTGGTCTAGTATGAGAAAGACAATGACAATACCAATAGAACTGTAACAGTTACTGGAAACAGCCAAATCTATTCCTCCTCCTCAGAAAAGTTAAAGCTGGGATGCACTTAATTGTAACAGACAGTTTGCATTAGTGCTTTCAGCTAAAATCATCCTCTATATTGAAACTTTGTTTATGGATGCACAAGTGAGGAGTATTTCTGTAGTCTCTGTTTTAGGGTAGCAACCTCTGTGTAGGGCAGTATTTCAGGAAATGAAATACATCTCAACATTTTTGTACCATTGAGAAGGGAAATGACCTAATTATTATGCCCTTTAACCCTAGCATATATGGTACTGTGATGTGTTAAAAACTAATAATTATACCAACATTCTGGATGGCAGCATCAAGTAATCTGTGCTTTTTAAATGAAACAATCAGAAGATGGGATCCTTTCAATGGGTGGAGAAACAGGAAGTTTATATTCTCATTGTGGTAGATAATGGTAGGCATCTAGAATTAGCATTGCAGAGCATTGTAAGTTGAAATACATTCTTAATTTTCAGTTATCAGCTGAGATGAATTACTGATTTTGTAAAGAGAACATTCAGCTAGTATTGTTTGGAAAAAATAGAGAAATATCAGAATAATCTTTTAGGTTAGCATGAAAACAAATTACTCCTTTTCATTTCCCCCTTTTGTTCTCTTTTCATATAATAACACTTTAGCTTCTTCCCAAAGTAATTAATTGCCACTAAAGATTGGCTTTAAATTGGCAACTGACAGGCTGTTGGACTGACTTGTAGTTACACTGTGACAGGCCAGCCAATTCCACTGAAAATGCTCAAGGACTTTTGTACATGAAGGGCACTCAAATGAGAGATTTTACTTAAATTGACCATTGAATTGTCCTATAGGGCATCCAGATTTCAAATACTGAAATTCAGTATAGTGTACTGAACAGGCAGACACTGAGGAAACTGCAGCATTTGGAGAGTTGGCAGCAATATTCCCATTGCATCATGGTTTTAATACTTGAGTTAAGAAAAAAGGTATAAATGGACACTAGTTTTTTCTAGCATGACATACCAGTCTTTGTCCTATGCTAGCTAGCAAAGTGTAAAACCTGAAATTTGGCTTAATTTTACAGCAGCTGCTGGTATTACTGTGATAAGTAACATACCTTTAAGGCATTAGAAATGATGGTCTACATTTCATTACATGTATTTTTTAATCTACTGCAGGAGAACATCCATTGCATTTCGCAGGAACGACAGCAGTTAAGTCAGCAATTAAAAGATGAAACTCAGCAGAAGGAGCAGTTAAAGCAGATAAAGAATGAAATGGAGAATGAAAGATTGCAACTGAACAAGACTGTTGAGAAGTTACAGGAGGAGGTATGAGTTCATGCCCAAGAGGCTGCAGAGATCTGAATATTTAACAGATAGAACTAAATGAACTGACAAATTATAAAGAATTATATATTTTTAAATGTGTAAAAGAAAGTAAAATGAAAAGTTTAGTATTAGCTTCTTTAACCTAGAGGTCTTATTAAAAGCTTTCAGGGCTGGAACAATGATTGGAACGCCACTATTACAAAATGGCATTGTAAACCAGTTCTGTACAAACCAGATCCCAAATCTGAGTTCAGTCCTCATGTACAGCAAAGTGATATTTCAGAGTTTTACAGCTGATTCTCAAAATGTCTGCATCAGATTTATTGTGCCATCTGTGTGTAAACCTTACAGTAATACTGACATACTGAAGTGTGACTGTGCAGTTCATTGTGTCACTCAGCTGGAAGAACTGCTGACAGACAAAAAGAGAATAGTCTTGCCACACATGCTATTAGAAATTAACTTTACTGTTTTGTGTTTTCCCACTTCTGCATAGAAATTAATTTATTTGGGAAAGTTTGATAAATTTTCTGTTTGAAAATACTGAGCTGATTACTGAAGCTGGAGGAAAAAAACCATTTGTTTTATTAAGCACAACAGAACCTTTTGTATATGTATTTTTTACCCAGATGTCTGAAATGGTGGAGATCTCAAGAACATCAACTCTGGAACTTCAGAGCCAGCTTGATGAATACAAAGAGAAAAATCGCAGGGAGTTTGTAGATCTCCAGAGGCAATTAAAGGAGAAAAACATTGAGGTAGAAAAATCACGCCTGATGAACATAAGAATGCAAGATGAGGTAATGACTCATAAATTCAGTGAGAAATTCTCAACTTTGACCTAGAATTCAGTGCAGATAGTTTTCACAATAATGAATGTTTGCTATCATGCTTTTGTGTACCCTCATGTACATCATGAGAGGTTGATCTCAGCGTGCTTTTGGGTTTGATTTTCTATGGTGGTGATCAGCATGTTATTTCTGCTGGGGAAATGGGGGTTCCTGTTTAGGACAGATAAATGCAGTGTTTGTCAAATGAATGCACCTTAAGTGAAATGACAAGGATTCCATTGATGATCTGCTGCTCTTTAATGCCTGCTACTGAAGGCATTGAGAATTTACAAATATTTTTTATTAGGGAAAAAAACCCACCAGTTATTTAGGAAAAACAAACACCCATACAAACATACATTCTCCTCTTCTTTCATATGAGCCAAGGTGGAGCTTTAAATCACAAAGGTTTCTGTGCAACCAAGAATTAACCAGTCTTGAGTGTCTTCCTCATAGCATGTAAATTTTGTAATAAAGACAATCCAGTCTTTTCAAAATCTGCATATTCCTGCTCTCCAGTTGGAAAAATTATGAGAATACATTGGTCACAGATGTTTTCTCTGTATGAAATATTTTCGTAGTAGGATTGTTCCAGTTTAGAACTCTTATATTGCCTTTGTTTTAAATTAAATTTAAAAGAACAACAATAGAAGAAAGAGTAGTTCCTGTATATTGTTGTGTCTTCCTTCTATATTTATTTCATTCATGGATGGAGAGCCTTTGTAAAGGGATGAAGACTCATGATGAAAAATGCAAGATAAAACAGTGATTTTGAGAACATAGCTCTTGAGCTGAATGAAGTTGTATGTAGATATCTACACTAATACATGCATCAAATATGTAAATGTATGTTTACACAGTGTAAGCACACTGTGTTTGCAGTTATCTCATTATAGGTCATAATCCAAGTTTATTTTCTTGGTGCCATCTGGTGGATAAAACAAAAATTACTGTGAAAAGCCAGTAACTCAGTGGAATTCCTGTCATGCTTCCGGATCTGTGTGTTTGCAGTGAGTTCCCTTTGCTGCCATCCCTTGTTTATAGCAAGCACAGTCTTAGTGAATTCCCCTGATCTTATTGCTTCAGATGCGTCTGATGGAAGAGAACCTGAGGGACCACCAGAGAGCCCAGGATGAGGCAATAACAAAAACTCAGCTACTGGAACAGACTGTGAAGAGCTTGGAGTATGAACTGGAAGCCAAAAACCACTTGAAAGATGATCGGGCAAGACAAATCAAACTAATGGAGGTAAAAGACATTTCTTAAGGCTTTGTTTCTTTTTTGAAGAGATGAAAATAATTTTGTTTCACTTGGATTTTGCTTGGAAGGAATTGGCATAGTTTCATGTTTTTGAAAATCCTTGTAGTATTACTGCAGAAATTAATGTGGTATATTTTAAAGGTAATTTGTTAGCAAATCTGTTGTAACATGATATGTTCTAAATTAGAATTTTCTCTCATACTTTTAATTAACTTCTTTTTAATTAATTTTATCTAGCGCTTATCATACAGATTTGCATGATTTTAATTTCTAGGCCCATCATTCAGAACTTCAAAAGTATTTAGAAATGTAAGTTTTGTTTGGTCTTTGATATGGGTTCATTTCAGGAGTCTGAATAACATTGTGTCTCTAACTTGTTACAGGGCTGCATAACTGTTCAGTTCAACTAGGCTGTCATTTGACTTTCTTAAGCAAACATCTCTATGTCATTGTACTCAGATAAAAAGAAATTTGTCTTCCAAATGTATAATGTAATGCACTCAAAAAAAGTCTCTAGAAACATTGCAGAATTTATCTTATATTCTTGAAATTGTTGAGAATGATGTAAAAAAAGGAAACAAAACCTTTATTGTACTTCTGTCAAACAAATTCACTCTAAAGCCTTACCTACTTGCCATCTCTTTTGCTGTGTGTTTTAAGAGGCATTTCAGTTTCCAAGCTTAGTCTTTCAGACAGTTTGGGTCCTTGAAGCTTAAAGAAGAATGCCCTGATAGAAATCTGAAGAGGATGGAAAGCAGCGTGTTGAGGTTGCTTTTCTTTGTTCCACTTAGGACAAGTTGTCTCACCTGGAACTTGAGCTTGATGAAGAAAAGAATAACTCGGATTTGTTGTCTGAGAGGATCAGCAGGTGCAGAGAACAGGTACTTGAACAAGTTTTGCAGCTTTTGCTTAATGATTCTATGAAAAAGTGTTAAGATCACAATCAATATTGATCAACTAAATAATAATTAGCAATATGATTTATATGCTATACTTGAGCAGAGCATGTAAATCCAAAAAACCCAAGGTTCACAAACATGATGAAATATGCTCCCTCCACATCATGACAAACCATTTTTTCCTGTTATTCTAAGTGGAAAACAGACACAGGATATATATAAAGACTGAAGACTAGTAAGCCTGTTGTGAAGATCTCTTACATTGAAAGATCACTATTTTAATCCTACTGAAAAGTAATTCAGCATAATAGACTCTTAATTTCAAAGAAGGAAGAGAAGGAGCCTTAGGAAATTGTGGAACTACTTAGTGAAATCAGCTGAACCAAGAATGCTAGCCAGTTTCAACAGAGAGGAAGCTTTATTTTCATTACAAGTGTAAAAGCTGATTAACATATATCAAAGGCAAGACAACTGGAAAGTATTTTCCACATAAAAACATCAGTCCTTTGTTCCAGAAATGTAATATAAGTTGATAGCCCAGAAAGAGGGGAAGAAGGATTTATTAATGAGGTTGTGTCTCATGGAGCAGAAAATATAAAGTAATACTTGCCAAGCTAAGTGAGAACTATCATAGTAACTCAAACAAGTAACAAAAAGGTTTTTGTCTGTATAAGTAGAGGGAAGAAGTTGTAGAGACTGTATGATGAGGCCTCAGTCAAGATAAAATACAATCCAGGGATGCCCTGTCAAATAAAGGAACATTTTACCTCTGTCTTCAGTAAAGCCCATGAAAGTGCAGGTGGGGGGAATTGGAGTGAGTGCATTGGAAATGAGACCATCGAGTTGGAAATTACCAAGTCTTAGGAGAATTTGGACTTCATTGGTTTGAAGACAGAGGCCTTAATAATGTTATTCAAGATTTCTGAAAAAACTGAAATAAGAAATCATAGGTCCTATAACAAAGATTTATAATAAACTAGTAAAGTAGAATATAGGGCCTAATTACTGCAAAAGTAGCCAGACATCCATGGCTGAGTAGTCAGGATTATGCAAATGTTGTAATAGTTCATGGAAAAAAATACAGTGATGTGGCTGTCTTGGAATATCATGGTCCAGATAATGTTCTTTGCCTTATTTTTGCTTTCTGAAAGATGTGAAACTCATTCATAACCCCTTACAGCACATCTGCTGCTGTAACTCTACATGAAGCATTACAGCTCACAGTAATTTCCTAGAAGCTCAGGGGACAATTAGCATTGAGGTACCCACAATAATCTGTTCTGTTCTCATTTCTCTTTCTCCATTAAAAAAAAAAACAACAAACAACTACTGACATTCTTTTGAATAACTGTAGCTCCAGAGGCAGAACAGAAAGTGAAATCTTAGTTTCTGTGTCTTTTCAGTGAAATTGTGTGTTCCACTGAGACAGATGGGGAGTTTAAAGTGAGGTGGAGCTCAGCTTTCTCTCACACATCCTTGAAACACCAAGGCACCATTACTTCTTTGTTTGAACTCTGGCTACTGAGACTCTATTTGATTGTAATAAAAACTTTCTGCTATTGTTCTGTTGATATTGTTCAGACTCTGAGTCAGTGGGTGAAATAGAATATAAAGGACCTGTAATGATGTGGGGTCATGCTGTTGTTAAATCAGGAAGCCTTTAATACTGGAGTCTGTGCCTGTGTTGTAAAGCTGGGATAAAAGTACTTTACTCATAGCTGCCATGGAAGTTAATTTGCTAACTGAATGGAAACCTAAAATACAGTTTGGTGACTAAAATGTTACATAATGGGTAAAAGACATGTTTATTTTGAGGTCTGGAATTTCTCATTTCACACATGAGTTATAAAGGTTGCTTTGTTTTGATTTTATGCCAGAATGGCTAAGTAGTCAAATTACTAAAGAGTATTTCAGGGTCTGCTAAGCATTTATAATGACATGAGAAATTATAGTGGATTTATTTTGGTAATATTTGTATTCCTCTACATTTTAAAAACTATTATTATAAATATGTTATTTTAACATACTGATAATGAACTATAATACTGAAATTTCCAGTAAAAATGAATTTAAACAACTGGTTCTATTTTACATAAAGCTGAATGTTTGAATAAACATTGGCAAGAATAATAGTTCACATTTCACTTGCCATGAAATGTAATTCTTTTTTAATTTAAACACCCTTTTGAATCTGAATGGCTGCATGACACACTGTTCTCATCTCCTTTTGCCTTGTTCTAAGAAGTAGCACAGCAGAGTGGAAACAGAAAAAAATGTTAGGGAAAAGTGGGTCAAATCCTATTAGTTTTTAAATGATAATGTATTAGTAAATCTAGAAAGACCAAAATGCTCAAACCACACTAACACAGACACAAATGGAAAACTAGAGCACTCAGCTGCTGTTTGAGTCTAAAGAGGTCCCTGGGCAGGGACAGGCGTGAGGAACAGAGACAACCAAAATTATATTTTAATAAGTGATTTTTTTTCTATGAACAAGTGAAATGAAGTATCTCTTGCCATATTGACTTTGCAAACATAATTGAAAAATCCTCATGATAGCCTCAATAATTCTTGTGTTCTGTGAAAATGCAAGCAAGAGTCTATTGACCTTAGAGTTGTTTCCAGTAAGTGTGAAAAATGGACTTATTAGTTTTCATGACAATTTTAGAATAAACAGATAGGGACAAAATGACACTGACCTGCATAATCTGCTTCCTTTTGGTAAAGTGTTCCCTGTGGAGAGCTGTATACCTGCTCTTTAGCTGGCACTGACTGTGGGTAGCAAAGAAATAAAAATCTGGATATGAAGATTGTTTTTCAATTTTGAAGCATCAAAGGGATTTTTTTTAGCTTTAACTTTCTTCTTGATTAATCATTGGGTTTTTTGGTCACATACTTGGAAATTGTCTAAGGTATATATTATATACATATATATGTACACCCACACACTACTTAGGAGTTAACAGGAAACATTGGCTGTAAACCTGTGAGATGATGAACAATACTGATGGCATCTAAATTATTATTAGAAATCAAATTGCTTTCACTGTAATGAACTCAACAGCTGCTTTTAATCCTAAAGCTGGCACAAAATGATAAAGCTTTGTAAAACCTGATACATTTGCTTTTCTCAATTCTTTGTTGTTGGCATTCTTCAAATCCAGCTGTGATAAGTGTTGCCTTAAGCTGCAGAAATAGTTTATTCTTTTAACACAGTTTTGAGATATTAGACATAGGAAGGCTGGAACATGGAACATGAAGTCCCACATGGTACATACACAGAGTATGGCCATGAAACTGGTACATCTCACTGCTGTGAAATAAGTGGAACTTCAAGCACATTTGGACACACAACTGTTTTTCTCCTTTGTGCATGTTAATTATGTGTTTAAAAACTGTTGAACTGTTGAAAAACACAAGAAGAGAAAACAATTTATATCTCCTCCAGCAGAAATTCTATTTGCTGCCCTTTTCTTTTAACAAGCTCTTGTAGATATTTGCATGTAGCTTACTGATCCTAATCAGATATAGATATTTTTCTCTCTCCCACTACCTTTCTGTGAGGTTGCTTTTACCAAGAGTTGTCCAACAACAGTAGCAGTCATCTTGGAAATATAATAATTGTCCTCTAAATAATTCCTTAGTTTGAATCTTGGGAAGGCTGCACAAATTTGTTACAGCCTCTGAGCACAGTAAGAGCACAGTGGAACCTCAGAGTGGTCCATTAAGCAAGTTCCTACATAAAACAAAACCCCTTTCTTCAGTTAACAGCTACATTTTTAATTAGTCCTTCATTTTACCACAGATTTAGCTGTATTTTTTCCTGTGTCTGTCTTGCTAAAGCAATTACAGTAGAATAAATTCTATGTAATTCCTCACATTATAATTTTATTCGTATATTTTATTAATAAATACAGCTATTGTACACATGTGATTCTAATTTGTGTCTATAAAGTAATACTTTACTATATAATATTTTACTATATAACGTATAAAACATTGTTATTATTAGGCTTCCATGTGACAATGAGAGCTTTTAAGAAATCACCCAGCTGTTGAGAACACAGCCACGTGCTGCCATTGGTATTCTAGGAGCTGGTATGACCTTAGTTTTCAGGAATGCCTTCTCCCTTCTGTCCCCATCCTGTGACATAACATATGCAATTGCATGCCTTGCTGCCATTATTTGTATTCATATATCAATTTACAAGCTCCAGAAAAAGTGCAAATTACTTCCTTTAACCATGATTAACTAAAAATGTATCATTTAATATTATGTTGTGGTTTAAAAAATAAGGCCTAGGGCAAATTTTCATCTGCTGTACTTGTTTAACCTTCACATTCTTAACATTGCTTTTGGATTTTTTATGCAAGAATTCCCAATGACATTTGAAAGTGCTTTACTGAGATAAATCTGTAACTGAGAGCTGCTTAGCTGCAATGTTGTGTTCATGCAAGTTCATATGTAACTGATGCAAAGCAGGAAAGAGTGCTGTGGCCACTGAAATCTTTATCAGTCTTTTTTTTGCAGGGACAGTAATAGATACAGATATTCACTGTGTTCCTCAGATGATATCTATCATAAAAAGTCCTGTACAGTGTAAACCACAAATGCTGTGGTAACATTTGCTGTGCCTGTAAAAGTATTTTTAGAGATTTGCAGGGAGTCTCAGAAAGATTGGAAGCAAGATAAGTATTTCCACACCCCTACAAACTTTGTTCTTCAGCACCAAAGTTTCAGTAGCAGCTGTTAGATAGTTTGGAGTTTTTCTCTAAGCTCAATTTCTTTTCCAATCAAGTCCAATAGTGAGGTAAAACAAACTAATTTTGCATTCTTATCTTGAGTCTGTATTGATTATGTAGCTTTTTAACATCTTTACACATGGAGAATATATCTTCCTTGTGGTTCTTGAATATGGAGCAGTAATATTAACAGAAGCTGCAGAAGAGGTTGTCTTTCAACAAAACAAGCAAAACCCACCCCCTCTCTAAATCTAGAAGTTGGTGCCCCTCCAGTACAACAGACATGAAATTGACTGAAGGAGGGGAGCAATGTTTGGATCCATCATGCAGCAGAGTCTGTTGAAAAAGAGCTTTTACTACTCCCATGCATACAGAAAACTGCAATTCCCTGTGGAGTGTTTCACTGAGTTCTGGGCACTTGTTTGCAGGTATCAGGTTGTGTTTAATAAAGAGAAACTTTACTAAGACTAATCAGCAGCTTAAAAGTAAGGTACTGTTTCAGAGGTTCAGACTTAAGTATGAAGAAAACTGGAAAAGGTGTTTGAAGATGGATGTGATGTTCCAGAACTCTGTTCTGCCATGTGATTTGTCTTTTATAGAACAGCTTAGAGTTGAGTTCCTTGCTACAGAATGTATATGGTAAACATCAACAATATCCAGTGTAGGTGTGAAATGCCTAGAATGAATCCTGGGAATAACATGGACTGCTTGAAGCAGAAAGTTTTGTCCAAGATTGTAGCTGTAAAGCTCATCTGAAATCACATGTATGTCTTGAATTATGAGAAACACATTGCCTATTGCACAGGTATATGTAGTTTATATATATACATACACACAGTATAATATAGATAAATATAATTTAAGTCTCTCATTAAAATTTCTGTCTTCTTTCTCTAATAGATTGAACAAATGAGGACAGAGCTACTTCAGGAAAGAGCTATAAAGCAAGACTTGGAGTGTGACAAAATTTCCTTGGAAAGACAGGTAATTATGTCTGGTTGTAAATGACCACTTTCAGAGGAGCTGTTCTGCCAAGGCTGAACAGCCCTTCAGGAACACTGCTGAAGATACCATTTAAAGGAATTGTGATTTTAGTTGAGTGTTTTCTTCTGTAGTAGTAAACAATTCTTCTGCAGCTCAGTGGTCTTTGAAAGCAAGGTTACTTATCATAGCCCTTAGGTGAGATCCAGAGGAAAGATATCTCAACAAGTCATAGTATTATTTAAAAACTCAAGAACATAAAACAGATTGTAATGGGAATTTAGAGAACGTGTTAGTACAACACACCTAATTAGGTGCCTTCAATTATGTGGCATTGATCTCATATTAATTATTTGAGAAAAAAGAATGCCACCTACTGGTATATACTATGTACATTCTTATATTTTAGTTCTGATCTTCCTGTCATAGTCCTTTTTTCTGTGTTTGAGACCTGTGATCATGCTTTGAATTTCTGTAACAAAGAGCTTTATTTTTCTGTTCATCATGTAACTCTTTATTTGTTGGGGTATTTTTTCTGTTAATTCTTTGACTAGGTCCCCATTGAAAACCTATATTACCTAGCTTCAGAAAAATATAAGTGTAAATCTTAGCAAAAAGTCTCCTTTTACAAATCTTTTTTGAGCTGTTTTTGTAGTAGGAATATCATTGGAGAGTTAAGAAAGGCAGGGGGAAGAGAAATATTCCAGGCGCCCTGGGTTTCCACAGAAAGTTAGGGAAACACCCCAGTAATAGCTTTGATAAAGTAAAGCGGTATTGGATGTAAATAATTTCCTTGTCTACTTGTTCCAGCCATACACCAGTGATTTATAGGGCAAGAACACAGAATTTTACAAAAAAATTGGGTGTAGCATAAGACAGATCTGACAGAATATTTAAAAAAAAATTGGCACATTAAAAAGTACTGCTGGAAGGAGCTTGCAACTACCTGAGGTTTAAGTGTCCATTTAATCCTAAAACTTGAACTAAAGCTGAACAGTAAATTCTTTCCAATAAGCCACGGTAGTAGAAAATTTGTTTGAAGTAAACTGTAAAATCTCAGTGATTTCCAAGTTCACTAAATGCCATATGGCTCACTGTACATACTGATACCTGTTTGCCTGGAGACATGACTTTGGTGTTAAGGTGATATTTGTCAATCTCAGTAAGTGTGTATTAACCAAGTGTGTTCCAACCACAGAACAAAGACTTGAAGAGCCGAATCCTTCACCTGGAGGGTTCTTACCGATCCAGCAAGGAGGGACTCGTTGCTCAGATGGAGGCAAGGATCACAGAGCTGGAAGAACGACTTGCAAATGAAGAGAGGTAAAACCAGTAATGCTAAGATCATATTTATGCTTGTTATTATGGCCTCTTGCTAATATTAAATCTCTCTTACAATTAACCTGGGGTTTTTTCACCAAATTAAAATGGTTACTGTTTCATAAAAGTATTGCAATTTTTCTTTTTTACTGCAAGCACAGTAGAAGTTTGTCATAAAATTTAAAACTGGGCACATGGTTCCATAGCTCCTTATTTTATAAAAGTCTTATATCAAGAACAGGCTTAGAAATATTAACTGTACTGTAACATCCATTTCATGTTTGCTTTTTGTTTAATCTTGGGGGAATATACTTTTGTTGCTAAATGTTGCTATGGGGCCAGAAGAAATTCTCCGTAGTAATTTCTGCTTATGAATAAATTTCTCAATATGTTGCATGGAATCAGTAAATCCAAGCAGGGACCCTAAGTATTTATCCAATTCTTATAAGATTGTTAAAGAATTAAATGATCAGGATTGGGAGCATTTCAGTTCCTTTTTTACAAACCTGTCTTTTCTTGGTTTTGGTTTTTTACCAGGGATAGAGTAAATTTCCAGCTAAGTAACCGCAGACTTGAGAGAAAAGTGAAGGAGTTAATGTTGCAAGTAGATGATGAACATCTGTCATTGACTGATCAGAAGGACCAGGTAGGGGAAGGATTAATATGCAAATATCTGATATTAATCCTACGAGCCTAAACCATCATGTATAAAAGATACAAGACAAATAGGGGTAGATTCTGATTACTCTGTTGTTTATGAATTCCCATTTAGTGATATTTGCAGCTGCCATTGCATCATGTGCTTTTGTCTAGTACTAAATTGTTCTTAATTTTGAAAATTATGAAAAGAAAGTTACAGAAGCAATGCTAATTTAAGAAATAAAGCAAATAACAGACAGTTATTGATCCTATAAATATACCAACAAGTAATCTGTTTTGCCACCATAAAATTTTGTTTAAAGAAAAAAACTGTTTACTGTTAAATATAGGCTGTAAGTCTAAGCACACACTGATGTTCCAACAGCAATGTGCTCTACCATTACTGTGGTCTTTGTGGATTCAAACATGGTTTGTTTCAGCACCTGAGCCAACAGTTAATACTCTGCCTGGAGAATGAGCAGTGTGTTTCAAATTGCAGGCATCCATTACAGGAATGATCTTAAACAATCCTCTGGGTTTTTGAAATGTATTTTATAGTCTCTGTCTGTTAAAGTTGCTTAACTTAGACACACTTATGTTGTCATGGGTAACCAGCTCTTGCTATCACATAATACTGTCTCAGTCTACCAAAGCTCTCTTTGCTTGCTGCTGGTTTTTCTCTGTAAAAAAACAGTATCACAATATTTTTCTTAAAGTCTAATGCTGACTTTCAAATATTTCTGAAGCAGAGGATTACAGTGTCACTACACTGGCAAAGTTTTGTCTTTATTCTCCCTCTCATAGATGCTGGAAGAATAAAATTCCTTTGTTAAAATAGTCCTCTAATCAGATGACATGTAAATATTGCAGTTGAGTTTGCGTTTGAAAGCAATGAAACGTCAAGTTGAGGAAGCTGAAGAAGAAATAGACAGACTGGAAAATGCTAAAAAGAAACTTCAGAGAGAACTTGAAGAGCAACTAGACATAAATGAACAATTGCAAGGACAGCTTAACACTGCAAAAAAAGAATTAAGGTAGGATGAGTTGTCAGACTTTCCAGTTCTGTATCACACCACTTCTCACACATTTGACCACTTGGTCCTGTAGTCCATAAACTGAGGGCTTCCTCTACAAGTTTGTCATCAGCACACGCAGTTTGACACAGACCTGTGAAACTCTCCAGGTGTCCCAGCCTTCTTTCCAAGATCTTCCTACTGAATAAAGGCATTTATTCATTGAGGCAGGGAATATAAAATGGAGAAAAGTGGTGGCACTTGACACTCTTACCATTTGTAGCAGTAAAAATTTCCCTAATGGCTGAGAGGTGCAGTCATCCTGTGTCATCCTGTGTTAGTTTTCCTTGGCCATCTGTGAACATCCCAGTGTGCAAAGTTTACAGTTTCCTCTCTCTGCCACTTTAGTTAGAGGTGCTTGAAAATGTGATTGCTTGATCTTGTGCATGTTTCCTTCATGTAAGATGTGGTCTATGATAACCCCTGCTGCAGCACTCAGACATCCTTCAAAAATGTAAATCCTGCCTGTCAATGTTTAAAGCTTTCTTTTAAGTGTTCTGTGTGTAGATGTGCTGTTTTAATAGCAAATATGTGTATTTTTGTTTTAGTAGACTGAAGAAGTCACCAAGTAAAGTGTTGGCTGATTCTGATGATGATGACGACGATGAAGATGATTTCAGCACGGATGGTGATAGTCTCTGTGAAGTACCTTCAGGAAATAATTTCTCAAAAGATGATGACACAAAAATCTAAATAAGTATGGATGCAATTCCTTGAAAATACTGGAAGAATAACATAAGAAACTGGATATTCTAGAAGCCAAATGACATAAAGGGATTTAAGAGTTGGGAATATAATGTTTCCATCCATATTGTGCCATTTTCTTTCTTTTCTAGATCTCCACTGTTTATTATAGAAAACAGGATTATAAAACACCTATAAAACTATATATATCTATAAACTGCTACTGAAAATGTGGGAATAATATTTCACATTGGAAATGGGATTTTGCTAAAATTCTGTTCAAGTAAAAAGCCATCTGATATTAATTCAAAATTAGTTTTTAGTTATTAGAAGCTCTTCCCTAATATTAAGGAAACTATGGAAGATTATTTAATAATTGTAAGTAAGGGGAATTTATGTATAAAATGTAAATATTTTAAATTTAATCTTTTTATTGACTACTTTAGTACTATTTTGTAAAGTTTCAAATATTATATAAATCAGTTTGATATGTAAAATCTTTAAGTTTATATTGAATGCTATGTTTGGGTTTTCACTAAGAGGAAAACAAATGAAAATGAATACATTTCATGCATTACAGAGCAGATTCGTAGTTCCTGGGCCAGGAAGTACATTTAAATAGCAGTGTAAGTTTTATTGTATGTGTTCTGTATATTAGAGGTCAAATGTTAATCCTGCCTGTTAAAAGGACCATCACATGTGCATGATGAGAGAGGCTTGGCTTCTACTTCTGTGTCAACTTCATTTGGGAAGCTCTCTGTTCTCAGTAGGGAAGGGTGAGAAGGATGTCACTCATTACTTGGTATCTTTCATTTCCTGAAAGGAGTTCAGTTCTGCCAGAGGCAGAATGTTATAGGCCTGCTGATTTGAGGACAGTGGGACAGTCTTATCTTGCAAGTTTCTAGAGTCCCACTTGTTCCAGTAAAATTACCTGTGGTCTTTGATTTAAGTACATGCTTAAATCTGTTAATTGATATGAAAATTTTATGCTGCTGGCAAGAAATTGCACCAAGGAAACAGAAAGCATGTAATCTGATTTTTCTTTCTAAGTTCTTCTTGACCATCTACTAGTGATGTATTGCAGTGCATGGTCATATCTGCAGATATACACTGGTATTTCATTTTACAGAAGTATCTGTATTTTGGGTTATCCATCTATTCAACAAACTTTGTGGGAAATTTAAAAGAAAGAGCATTGAAGATTTTATTTTAAAAAGATTTTCTATTTTGTTGCTAAAAATATTTTTTGCCATTTGAATTACACCAGACTGGTTTTGCTCCTTTGCAAATCTAGACTTCACAGGAAAGGGCATTACTACAAAATTTTGTTAATAAACCATAGTTAGGTCCTGTCTATTTATCAGTATTTGTCTGCAGTTACAGGTTAGCAAGCACTTGTTCATTGATTTGATTGAGTAATCATGGAATTGTAAAAAATACTTTGAACTGAAGTTGCTGGGATCTTCCATTATTCCCCCAAAGGAATCTGCTGCAGAGAGCAAATTGAACAGCTCTGCCAGTGAGGCTGGCAGATGTGGTTAAAGCAAAAGTCCCGACAATGGCAGTGTCCATTTTCATACAGTTACATGAAATGAAACTCCTGCCTGCGAGGTCAGAAATGTATTCCTGCATAACAGATCACACTCTCTTTGCCATGTAATTCCCTTCAACTTGCTTTTGATCATTTGAGTTATACAGGAAATATTAGGAATGGCAAAGTTGTTTCTGAATCTTGTATCTTTACCAGTAGCATGCACATGGAATATTTTGCAGTATTGGCATTACTATTTTGACATCACAGGAACAGCCTTTCATCCAAGAAGACCTGTGCTACACTGTACTGACAATCATCATAGAAACTGCTGTGATTTATTTGTTGTTTCATTTGCATGTTTATGTAGACTTAACTTCAAGCAACTGATTCCAACCCCCAGTACTCTATCCTATAATGTTCATAGATGACTTATTTCAAACCACTGGAAAAAAATCAATTAATATTGCATCTACCTCCAGTTACACTAAACTGTAAAAGGAAAATTCACTTAAAATAAACAGTCAGTGCTCTCAGTTCTACTTTGTGCATATACCTTGATATGATAATTGAATTTCATATAGAAGACATGTTTAAAACATAACAAGAAAGTAATTATTTGGGAGATATTGATGCTGTAAACAAATTTTTGCACTTTCTTCTCTTTGGATAGTTACTTTCTTTGTAACTTGTACAGCAGGTGGCAGGTGTAACATCTAGAACACTCCTCATTTGATCTTAGAAGGAAGAAGACAATATTGTTGCAGGCTCCTACTGGCCACAATTCTTCTTAGTGAACCTCCTCTTTTTCAGAAAAAGAACTTCTCTTTAGTTTGTTCACTTGGACTTGCCGGTGGCATTTTCTCTTTAGAGTTCTCAAATAATATGACTAAAAGTTTTAAGACACTGAAAAAGATATTTCAATTGATTCACCAAGCAGTTGGTAGCTCTGTTTCTCGATATTTGTTAACTATGGTGATGGTAAAATCATCTTCATTGCCACAACAAAATTTATAGTAGTTTACAGTCATCTTATTTGTTCACTCTACGTCCTGTTTGCTCTCATCAAAGCCCATGTTCAAAGTTTAGTTTAGAAAAATTTTCCTGGTTTTTTCATGTAATCTATTTTAAAATTAATTTCAGGAGAAGCTCTTGACCAATAAAAGGAAGCAAGAGGGGGGTATATGTAAGGAAATATGGTTAAAAGACATTTAGTGGCTTGAAGTTTGTATAAACTTCAGAGTTGCTGGTGTATTACAGAGACATGGCTTGAATTCTGAGCTGTACAGACCTTGAGTTTTCTTCCACAGTACTGCAATATCTCTTAAACAAACGGACCTGAGCTAAATCATGTTTCCTATAAGCCTAAACTGATGACTTTTATAGTGGATGCTTGTCTCTCTGTGTAAGTAATCTGTAGTGAACGGTGAACTTTTAGTCCTTTCTGGGATTAATGGTCTTGGTTTTCTGAGTCTGTTATGGTAGATAGGAGAAGACAAATTAGTTCTACAAGAGGTTTTTTTCTGTTTTAAATCACCAGCATTTGGCAAGTGCTCCAAAGTCTTTACATGGCAGCTTCTATACAGTGCAAAATGTGTAAATGTTAAGCAAGTGAAGAAAATCCTCCTGTCCTCCATAGACTCCTAATTTACTAAGGAATGAAATTAAAGATACTCATCACAATAATGCATTTTAATGCCCTTGAGTTTGGAAGGCATCCCTTTTCATAAAAGCATTAAGATCTTTCAGACATCATATCTCTTGTTGGTGCCTGAAGAAATAAAAAGGAAAAATTGTCATCTTCTTGCTGTCCCCTGTACCTGTTTCTCTGCACTGCACTTTATTTAAGGAAACTCCTGTACTATGCAAATACTTCAATTCATTATGTGTTTTTTACTGTTCAATCACCAGGCACGTTTTCCCCCACAATTCTGGGTGATGAGGCTGTAACTTGTTGATTAATCTGTGTATTTCTCTGATTTATCCTCTTTCTTCTGAACTTAATTCTTCCCTTTTCCTGATTAAATAATTTGTTCTGATTTATAAATTATTTTCTAAAGTGTTCCAGAAGCCATGTGTTTTCCTAATTTTTTACAGACCAGCTGTGTGCTTTGCTGAGTGAGCTACATAGTGCAATAGCTTCAGCTTTTAAGCCTTTTCTGGATCACACAGCATATTTTAGTAATTAAATGTTGATTCTTTTCGCTTACTGGAGCTTCCTATCCTGTGAGTAGAGCTACACATTTCAGCTGCTTAATTTCTACCAACTGTACTTCTCAAGTAACATTGCAAAATGTTCAAAGACTTTGCTGAAAGAGCAACATTCTTTAGAAATTGCCAGGGTTTCTTACACATTTAATTTCTTTTTTTGCATAAGGTTCTGACTAGGTCACATGTTTAACCCCCTGACCCTACTATGTTATACTGAGAGAAATTTCATTGGCATCTCAAAATTTTCTCAGGAGCAGTGGGCTATTGAGAAAAAGGTATAGAATTAATAGATATTTTTGTATTACAGGTTTTTCTTTTTACATGTAGGAAAGGAAAGACTTAAGAAGAAGGGGAGTGAAGTTCAGCAGACAAGGCCAAGTGCAGTAGTCAGTTTGCCTCACCTACCTCAGTAGCAGAATGACAGTTCTTTAATGGTTGGTACCAGTGACCCTTATGTAAAGTCAGCAGGGACTGTTTTATGTAAGCTGGAACATTTGATCTTTTTTCCATTTCTAATAACAATTTACTGCTTTATTTAGATCCTGAAGCTTCATGCCATTAGCAGAAGAACAGGCAATAAAAAAAAATATTTAAATTCAGAGCACAGGTGGAGGATGAGAGTTTAAGCTCTCCAAGTTGTCAGTAGGAAAACTGTAGGAACACTTCTATGTGAGTGCAGAGGAGGAACTCACTACAGGTAACTCCATTACAGGTAACCTGAGTTTTGCTTTGCCTTCTGTGTACTTCTGTTTTTCAGCAGAATGGGCTTTCTGAACAGTGCTTCATGTGTTAGGTTACAAAGCTATTTTTACTGGTTTCAAGTACTCCTTTCATCTTGGTTGTATGCAGGCTGGCTTGGATGGACCCTACAAAAAGGCATAATGGGAAGTAAGAAAAAAGTACAGTAGGAAAGAGTCAACTCAGGATCCAGTTCTGATTAATTTGATTTTGACCTTCCCTTCACTCTTAAGGATCCTGGCACACATCTGAGATTGAATGTCTGGCTCTGCAGTAACCAGCAGGCTCTGTGGAGTGTCTTTTTTGCAGAACAACAGCCTTAAGTATAGATTTCCTTGCTTTATGGGGAGTTTCAAATCTGGTTTTCTTCAAACAAAAAAATGGTTTATTGTGAAACAGGTAGAATGGCTATGAAAAGTGGAAAGGAAGAAATAATAAAGTGAGTCCAATAAAAATATGTAAAAGCAGTAAAATCAGCCAACTAAAGAAAGGAAGCTTCCTGAATTAGGCTATGTGTACTTTAAACACAGCCCACTGTGCCTTGCTATTTCAGGACATATTGTGTATGGTATCCACCTATTTTAGAGATAAGATCAAATTTGTAATTTAGATATAATGTCCCTCCCAAATGTGAACTTCTTAAGCATTACTGAGTCACAATGGATAACTCTGGTCTGTGTGGATATAAAGAACCAACTCAAAATGCTCACAAATGTGGAAATTCAGTTTTCTAAATGAAACAGGTTCTGTTTAGAGACCCTGCTGGGCCAGCTGCTCACAACACAGCAGCCCCATAAAGGTGCAGGTAAGTGTGTCAGGACTACCAGGCTGTGCTGCAGTGCTTTCTAACACAGTACCTGGCTGATGGTCTCTCCTGCCCTTCCAAGTTGTGGTTCTTCTTCATCAGTGACAAGTGCAGCCTCTGCTGGAAGACCCAATGTGTGGCTTAGATGCATCAGGCCAGAGAGGACGTGAAGAGACCTGACCACCAGATGTCTGGGAAACTGAGTTAACATT